TTTTTTTTTTTTTTTTTTTTTTTTTTTTTTTTTTTTTTTTTTTTTTTTTTTTTTTTTTTTTTTTTTTTTTTTTTTTTTTTTTTTTTTTTTAATTCGCTGCCATACCAGCTTATTGGGACTAAGCATAATGAAGAGGGGGGAAAAAGTTCTGGGAAATCAGCTAGAGGGTGAAGGGGGACAACTGGATCTACTTTTGTCCATTCATGAAAGACTAGGCGATAGTCACGTTGGATTGCTTCTCCTTGCTCCTCCTTATTTTCTCTCCTGGCCCCATTCCATATGATCTTGCCTATCTTACCCCCTTGAGGACCCCCTAGCCAAGCGCCACTGAAATGTTGATTTTGTTGTTGGATTTCTTTCTTGGAAGATAAGAATTGAATCTTTTCTTTAACCCATTGAGCTGTGATTATGGTTTGTACCTGTTGTTTGATAGATTCTGTAAATTATGGACCATCCAATCTTGCTCCCTCCATTTCGAAGGTGCACCGACATTGCCAGAGGGCCCATATGATTGCTCTTCTACCTGTTATGAATAAGTTATGAGAGAAGTCATCTGATTGGTCATAAGACCAGGTCTCACATAAAAGAGCTCTCCAGTCCCAAGGCCAATTCTGTGAACGAGTGAGAGAAGACCATATTCTGTCCCACCATCTCCACAGCCAGATCGCGCCTGGGCATTGTAGGAAAATGTGTTCTATGGTCTCCGGGATGGTCTTCGACGGAAAAGCAGATGAACATAATTTACACCAGGGTAGTGCTATACCTCTCTTTTCAAGAGAGGTTCTATCTATGAGCCAGTCATTGGTAGGAAGGCAGCGATGGTCAATTTGCCATTGTAGTGAAGCGATTTTTGACAGTTTGGTCTTTATGGTTTTAAACCATTTGACGCCTCTGATCTTTGCTTACGTTTAGTTGCTTCATCCACCTAGCTTCCACTCTATCCCGTAAGTTCAATCTTGGCCTTATCAAACGATATGTTGATTTAACCGTTAGTGTATGGATAGAACGAATGCACTTTCTTCCTTTTCCTAGTGGCAGCGTCCATGTCCAGCAGATCGGATCAAAAAACAACTTATTTATTGCGCATGAGGGCTTATAGGCCAACCATCTCTCCTTACACTTTTAGAACTCTAATTCGAAACAGCTGTTTAGATTGGACCCATCTGGTTTCTTGTGTCGGACTTTCCACTAACCTGTTGGTTTGGTCTAGGGAAAACAAAGAAAGGAGGGTCAATCCATCGTCATTTACAATCACCACATTACCTACTTGTTGCGGGTCTCCTTGAATCCCCACCCACTCACTCTCTTTTAGTTGGGGACCTTTTCTGAGGATCCTAATCCATTCTAGAGGAATAAACTCAACCACTGTTTCTAGTGCTTCTCCTGTCTTTCTGCAATAACGCAAGTATGGAGAGAGTTCAGATGGTGAATACCAATCCTTAATTTCTGCATTCCATATATCCCCGATCCTAAGAATTCCATTCTTCATCCACCCCCTCCAAGGAGAGTCCATACAATGCAACATCCTACCCTGAGAGTCGGTGATCCACCTGTTGTTAAA